TGTCAGTCTGACCACCTGCCATTTGTGTTTTGGGGTCACAGAGTTTAATAGAGTGTGACTGTAGCTAATATAGAGTGTGAATGTAGCTAATATAAAAAAATCAGCAGCATAAGGGTGGTGCCTGTGGCTTGAGGAGTAGGATGCCAGCCCCACATACCAAAGGTGGTGGGTTCAAACCCAGCCCTGGCCAAAAACTGCAAAAAAAAAAAAATCAGCAGTATGTAACAGTATTGCTGACACTTATTAAGCATTTGATGTGTTTCGGGGACATGTTCTTAGGTCCTAACCTGATTTATTTTTTCTAAAAAAAGAAGAAAAGTAAAACAGTTTTTATTTGTTCTAATTTTCACCAAAACCGAATGAGATAGGCGTTCCACATTGACAGATAAGAAAAATGAAGCTCAGGTAAGTCAAATAATTTATTCAAGTCATCCAAGTAGAAAATTAAGTTAATTAAATTTGGGGATTTACATATTCTGCTTTTGTATGTCTTAAGTATAGATAGATATCCCCGGGAATGGAACCTGAACAAACAGCCTCTCAAATTCCATGCCAGTTGTTCTAATATAAAGTGAACTCTCAAAGTTACAGCAATTCTGAGATAATAACAGCGAACATTTACTAAGCACTTAAAATGTAAGACGCTTTGTGTACATGTTAGGATTTAATCCTAGAACGACTTTTACCTCCATTTTGCCAAGAAATAAAGAGACAGCTTATGGTAACTGGTAGAACTGGGACTCACAGCTCAATCTTTCAAGTTTGGAAGCCATATGCCCTTTACCATTCAGCCAGATTGCAGTGGGAAACTGTCGTGGATGGTAAGGTGTAGGTTATTTCTGGAACACCTAAAGACTGTGGTAAAGACTGTGATGGGCTTCAGAATCAAAGACCTGTGTTCAAATATTATTATTTTCCTTTCATAGATTTCTAACTTTTGGCAATTTACTCAAATTTCTGAGCTTCACTTTCCTTGGATATAGAAATGATAAATAGAAATGATAAAACCTAATAAAATAGAAATGACAAATATCTACTTTAAAGGATTAATACAATCCTCGAAACAAAGATAAATAGCACAGGTGCCTGGCAGATAGTCAGTACTCAGTGTTAGAGTGAGTTGCCCAGGACTGCTTAAGACATTCTTGCAAAACAAGAGAGTCTATTAGAAAATTGGTTCACTTTAAGGAGGTTAATATTCTAAAATCTGAATTTACAAAATAAATTAATTGAGAAGTGATTGTTTACTTTTAGAAAGTAATCATGCTATTTTAATCAGTGTTTTTTTTTTAATTTGAATATGCATAAGAATCAATGGGAGAGCTTTCTAGAAATGTGTCTTTCTGGGTCCCAGCTCCAAAAGGTTTTCTTTTCAGTAGTGCTGCTGGTAAGCCATTTTAACATGAACACCCTCCCCCTCACAGGTGACTTTCGTGTGGATACTTCTTCCAGCAGGCAGCTTGCAAAATTTCCTGTGTACTCTTTTTAGCTCTTTATGATGGAGAATTTCTAGCATATAAAAAGTAAACAGAGGACTCCTATGTATTGGATTCAGTGTGATGAATCCTATGTATTCATTAACCAGCTGCAGCAAAGACCAACCCATGGTGAAATCTGTACCATTGTACCTCTTTTTACTCCCCACCCATGTTGTCTTTAAACAAATCACATAAATTATTTGATCTATATGTTTGCCTATGTATCTCTAAAATATAAGGACTTTTTAATAACATCATATATGTACTATGATAAAAAAGAGATAATACATATAAGGGCTCCCAAAAATGTAAGCCATGATATTTATTTGGACTGCCTAGTACAGTGCCTGACAAACAAGAGATGCTTCAGAACGGTCATTTTCATTGTGAATCTAAATGCCGTTTCTTAACTGATAAAGGGGAAAAAACACAGTTTTCACTGACACTGGGCTACAGTAAAATCTGTCTTCTTATCTCTAGGTTGAATATACTTCAGGCAAGGTTTTTTTCACCACTTGTTCTGACTTGAATGTGCTGAAGAAATTAAAATCTGCAGAAAGACTATTTTTGCTTATTAAAAAGGAGTTTCCCCTTACTGTTTCTTCTGTAAGTAAAGGTATGAGGTAAGCCTGTTGCACATGTGTTGTGCTCCACTGTTCTGCTTGGTATCTACACATCCAGCAGTTTCACATTTGTAAGATTCAGTGATATGTGTGGGACGTTAATTATGCATTTTCTGTATTACCTGAATATCATCACCTGATTGTAGTAGAATTTGTCTCTTTGTAACCTGCTGCTTTTCTTAACAAGTTTTTAGTGTCCTAAAGCACACTTCTGTGAGAATAGGATCAGCCACCTTCTGTAAGGATATATATGGTCAGTTGCATTTATTTCAATTTAGAAACATATAATAACCCCTGAATACATTATTTTAATAATAAACTAGTGGAAACTTTTACCTCATAAATTTTAACTGAGTGATAGAATTGGAAAAATAGTACATAGAATAATTTTCTATTTCTGGGAACTTAATTTTTTAATAAACTTATACCCATTTATTAAGCATTACAACTAAAGTGGGCATAAGAGATTTCTTGTCTATTCCCTAGTATTCTAACTGTGCTGCTGAAATAACTTAAGGATCTTGATAAAAGCAGCCTTAAGCTTGGGTTTGATTGCTTATTGTGCACAGAGGATCGTGTAATTGTATAGTTTATAAAAACCTATTTCAGGAAAGATTCAAATAGCATAAAATCAAGAACAAGAAGAAAAAAATTGTTTTAAAGCAAATCCCAAGCTGTGATACTCTGGGGTCAATATATTACAGTTCCTCCCAGTGTTCTGCACGTTTCTTTAGGAAACTAGAGTAATAATTTTTGGATCATCCTGATGACCCTTCTTAATCAAGAAAAGATTAAATTTTATAAGCATGCTGGCAGTTACTAAGTGGGTTATGTATCTGAGTTTGGGGATTTCTTTCCTTCTTTTTTTTTGAGACACAATTTAGCTCTGTCACTGAGGGTGGAGTGCAGTGATATCACCACAGCTCAGTGTATTCTTAAACTCCTGGGCTCAAGCAATCCTCCTGCTTCAGCCTTCTGTGTAGCTGGGACCACAGGCATGCGTCATCACGTCCAGCTAATATTTTATTTTCATTTTTTTAGAAACAGTATCTTTCTATGTTACCCATCTGGCCTCAAATAATCTTTCTACCTCAGCCTCCCAAAATGCTGAGGTTACAGGCACAAGCCAGCACATCTGGCTCCTGTTCTTTTTTCTTTAAAGTTAATTTTCATAGGCACAGTTGCCATCATTTCAAAGATTGATACACACTTTAGGAATACGCATCTACTGAAGAGATTCATTATTACAGGACATATGACATAGTAATTCTATAAGAACTTCAACATAATTTTAATACTGTATATGCAATATAAGAATGAACTTTTTCTGTATGATATTCTTATGATAAATGGAAAATAAATTCCAAATGAAAATGAAGTTATTCATATAGCAAACTTAACAGAGCTAATTTTAAATAAAGGTAATGGAATTTGGAAGTGATAAATGTAATAAGTGGTCTTTAAAGCTTCAACATAGGATAAACTCAAGATTTTACTTATTTAGGAAAAATATTTAATGAAATACAAAGATTTATAAATGATGACCCAGAATGTTGGTTGAATGCCATTTCAATTTGGAAAAATCTTCTTGAACTTGATGCAAAAAAGGAAGAATTTCCTCACAAAGATGCTAAGCTGCTAAAAAGAAAAACAGGAGACAATGAAATCATCACTGCTAAGAAATTAAAAATAGAACAAATGCAAAAGAAAGAAGAGAATAGGAAATGCCAGCTGGAAAAACAAATAAAAGAAGAATCTCTGGAGCAAAGAGATTTTATCACTAAAAGAGAAAATTTTCAAGAAGAGGAATTTCAGGGGGATACAGAGAAAGCAGCGGTAACTCATGACCAGAACAACTTGACTTTCAGAGTTTCTTGTCGCTGCAGTGGAACTGTTGGAAAGGCATTCACTGCCCAGGTATGCTTCCCTCCCCACGTGGGGTCCTGGTTTTTAAAAAAATTACTCTTTCGATTTAAAATAAGGTGCAAACCTCTAACAGAACCAATAACCTAATCCAGACAGATAATCAGGCCTAATCTCATATAATTAGCCACCTTTAAAATGCGTTTTCCTTTTTTATTTTACTTCAGATTACTTTCTGCTGAAAGTTTCCTTAAACTTCATAGATGATGTCATTTTCATTTGGAAATCCTAATTTCATAATCCTCAGCTTCTGTGGTTTCTCTTCAGTTCGGTTCTGTGCGTAGCGAGTTCTGTGCTTCTGCTCCAGGCCTGTATATGAGATTGTCACTGGCACCTAGGCTACAAATACATGAAAATACACATATGGTCCCAGCACTCTAGGGAAGAGAGAATGTCACACACAGTTAGGGGCAGGGCAGGTAAAATGCAGCCTTACCGCCTTGATAGATAATGCTTCAGTGTAATATTTTAATGTCAGAACCCTAAATTACCATCAGATAGTCTGATTTCATTTTCCTGTAGGCTACTCTGTTAGTTTTTGCTTATGTGAAAACTCAAAATTTTTTATTTTTACTTTTCTTATCTTTTAACTTGCTACTTTTCCAGGAAGTAGGAAAAGTAATTGGAATTGCTCTTATGAAACAGTTTGGATGGAAAGCAGATTTGAGGAATCCAAATTTAGAGGTAATGAATGTTTGTTTTATTTCATATACTTGTAACCTAGTCTTTAAAGACAGGGTCATCTATTCTTACTTGCTTTTCAGTTTTACTTTACAGTTTTTAAAAGCATGTTGACACGGATCCAGCTGTTGATTTTCTCCTTAGCAGTAGAATAGTACAGATAATTTTGCTAGTAGTTTTCACTGTGAAAACATCTTAGCCAAACAAGAACATTTTGGAATGAAGTTGTTTGGTCATAGTAGAAGAAAAAAACATTTATTGTGAGGTTGGTTGCGGAAATATTCTCCACAATCTCTATAAATCATATAAGTCTCTTTAATGAGAAATTCTAGCTAATGTTAAAAAAAAAAAAAAAAGAATAACAGTGAAATCAGGCCTGCACAAAATTGAATAGTATGTTCATAGTGGCTATGTTAAGGTTATGGGATTATATAGGCTTTTTTCCTATATTACAAAATTCATAAGATTACACTATTTCTTTTCTTTTTGGGGTCTTACTTTGTCACTGTTGGTAGAGTGCCGTGGCATCACAGCTCCCAGCAACCTCAAACTCTTGGGCTCAAGTGATCCTCTTGCGAACCTCCCAAGTAGCTGAGACTACAGGCACCTGCCACAACGCCTGGCTGTTTTTAGAGATGGGGGTCTTGCTCTTGCTCAGGCTAATTTTGAACTCCTAAGCTCAGGTGATCCACCTGTCTCAGCCTCCCAGAGTGCTAGGATTACAGGTGGATGCACCATTTTTGATTAAAGAACTAAATTGGCCAGATGGAGTCAGTCCAGATAATTTTTTTCTTGGTGAAAATTTATCAATATGGGAATAATTATATTAAAAATAATTTGGAGATGAAAGGCCTGGGGATTAAATGCTCTTGAGTTTCAGAACAATGGAATATTTTATAAACCTTATCAGACTAGAAAAGTAAGGAAGATTCTAACTTGTAAAATCTTATGAGCCACAAATTACATGAGGCATTTAAATCCTCTTCATGGCCTAGTGGGAAAAAGGAAACAAAGAGAGGCAAAAGCTCCCCGGTAGATAAGAGAGAGACAAAAGGTTGCCCTTACTACTCTCCACATAATTTTTGGCCTAAAGAAAGTTTCTGTACCCTGAAAGTATTGGTAGCTTGTGATACCCCTGTGTGGCCTTGAGTCATGATTGAGGTTAGGATTAGGGTGGATTTAGGAGTTCTTCTCTAACCCCAAATGCTGAAAAGTCTGATCCAGTTATGATAATTTAAAGACTCTCTGGACAGAAAGTTGATCTTGAGTTCTTGATAATGTGATTCTGTATATAACTTGTATCCCAAATTTGCCTTAGAATTTTTCTATGAAATGTTCTTAAGATTTATCTTGCCTCTGCTTAAGAAAAAAGATTATGGAACATTTTTCCAGATATGACAAATAAGGCTTTGGAATTTCTTATTAAAATCTAGATCATAAAAGTTCAAAATGGAAATTTTCAAATTGTCAGTACTTTAGTAATCAGCTTCATACGCATTCTAATTCCTGTGTTTGTTTTTCAGGTCTTTATACATCTGAATGACATTTACTCTTTGGTGGGGATTCCTGTGTTCAGGTAGATACTGTATTCTGAGCTTTAGGTTTGTCTCCTAGGAGAGTTTGGAAAATTAAGAACTTTATGCTTTTTATTTATAGTATGAAACACTGATGTAGTAGAGGAGGCTAAAGGCAAAGCATCTGAGTTCTTTCTCTGCTGAAGCCAGTAGCAGGGGTCCTCAAACTTTTTAAACAGGGGCCAGTTCACTGTCCCTCAGACCATTGGAGGGCCAGACTGCGAGCCCTGGGAAGAGTCGGCTGCTAAGCAGGACAGGCAATGGCTGCAAAAACACCCAGCGGGCCAGATAAATGTCCTTGGCAGGCTGCATGTGGCCCGCAGGCCGTAGTTTGAGGACCCTGCGAGTAAAGTGTTTCCATGGAGCTTAGGGGATATGACTTGAACTGACCAGTTAGAGCTGTGAAATATTAGATCATGGTAATTCAGTGATTATAGGATTAATACTCAAAATTGTATCTTATATTTCTATTAGACATACAAGCCTACGTTTAAGTTGGAACTTTTAGTCTATGGACATCTTGGAGTTTTAACTAATATAGAAAATATGGCACAATTCTTTAAATTCAGCTTGAACGTTCTCCAGACTTCATTGCATTATTCTTTTATTGCTGTGAGGTTATTACTAGTTTTGAAATCTTCAGGCATGTCCCTAGTCGCGCAAAGTACTAAATAATAAATGTAAATGATTTGTTTCTTTGTTCAGAAATATTTATTGAACTCTCATTGAGTGAAGAGTACTTTTTCTAAATGCTTTGGGGAGAAAGAGCTAGTTGAATGAAGATAGTGATTTCCAGTTTTGTGGGAGCATATAAATATTATTGTCATCTTCTAAACATTTTATATGTATAATACTGCTCATATAATATCAAGTTGTTTAGATACCCTTTTTCTAGATGATTCTAGGCATGGGATGTTTTAAAGATCATAAATTCCTATGAGAATACCACATTTGCTTAAGATCACATTTATGTATATAAGCCTAAATCAGTATATTTTAAAAAGGGCTTCAGATTATTATAATAGCTTTTATCTAATGGTGAGCTATACTAGTTTATTAGCACAATGCTGCTATGCTAAGAGCACTGTAGGCATCTGAGAAATGTCAAACAATTGATTTCTTACCATGTGCCACTCATAGGGTAGGCTCTACTAGCATCTAGGTTACAAAGAGATGAGCTTCGTAGAAGTTCTTGTTCCTATAACAATACTTCAACCCCACCAAAGAGGTCAGCCTAAGTGTCTAGAAAGTTTACTCAGAACATCTCCTCCCTAGCATAGTGCTAATGTATTGAAATTCTTAGCACCAATAAAAAGAAATGATTTTTAAATTTTCATTACATATAAAAATGCTAGATTTTGTGTTCTTTTATTTAACAAATATATATACCTTAGATTTTTTAAAGATGTTAAGCTTTACTATTTAAAATCATTGAATCCTTGCTAATAAAACTCAAGAAGTAATGCTTATGCCATCTCAAATAATAATTGATAATATGCCTAAAAGTTTACAAATATATATCTGAAAATCAAGACTTAGAGTTTGAATGAATGGTGGTTGAAATAATGTTACAATAGATGATCTGTGATTAATCAGTTTGACTGCCTAGGCATAGGAAAGAAACAATCTCTGTGTACACATGTCAGTGAAGAATAATAATTGGCTGGGATATGAATAAAGGGAGCCATGAAGACTTGAAGAGCAGATAGCGCTGGACAAGAGAAGTGGCAGTGGGTATCAGAAACTGCACACCATCAACAGAAAAAAGTCAGAAATGATGACATCCAGTACAGCCATGAAGTTTGAGGGTTACATAAAAACTGGTATCTTAGTAGTTCCTAAAGACCGTGTTGGTATTAGAGCTCTGCTTTCTTTAGAGACCATGTGGATGTCAACACCACATGGCACCATGTATAGCTGTGGAATGTAGCACAGAGGATAGGAACTGTGGACTTGAATTCTACCTTTTCCACAAATTGACTATGCAAGTATGGCAAATTATCATAGGTCCGTGCTATAAAATCAGGAAAATAATAATACCTACTGTATAGCTTTGTGGTTGGGCTTAAATGAGATAGCCCATGTAAAATACTTGGTACTATTTCTAGGATACAGTTAGTGCTGAATTAATTTCAGCTGTTTTATTTTTGAAATAGTTTAGCAACTAAGAAATTCAGTTACTCTTAGTTAAAACATCTATTGTGTACTTACTATATGCTAAGCATTGTGCTAGACACTCAGCATTCAAAGATGAATAAGATGGGTACTAAGTTCAAGGAATTCAGTCTAGTGGTGGAGCAGATGTGATAAATGCTGGACTAGAGTTAAGAAGGAGGGCCTAATTCTTTTACAAGACAAGTGAGTGAGAGAACTTAAAGAAGTGTCCCTAAGAGGATGTTTGACAGTAATAAAAAGTAAGGTTCTGCCAAGCGGACAAGAGGAAGGAGAGGACCTTGCGGGCAGGGACCAGCTTGTGTAAAGGCACCAGATACGAGGAAGCTTTGGCATTGATGTGAGGGATGGCAGCAGTTTCAGTGTAGATGGGACAGAGAATGCATAGGGAGAATGGTAGAAAATTAGCCTGAACAATCAGAAATAGGTCATGAGGTGTCTCGTGAGCCTGATAAACAGCTTGGATTTTATTCTAAACACAGTAAGAATTTGAAGCAGAAAAATTATGATTAGATTTGTGATTTTAAAAAAAATTACCAAGGAAATTATATTTTAAAATGAAAGGGAAATAAAAAGCAGAGAGTTTAAGTTCTTGTTAGTAAACTAAGGCAAAATGGTGGGTAACAAAGATGGCCATGAATTCAAGATAAAGTTAAGGAAGGTTGGAATATCTGGTATTTGATGGGCAACTAGTAGATACGGATGTTAGTCATTGACCCACAAAATGTAGGAATAGGAAAAGTGTATTCAGTGAAAAATGTCCATGTAGATACTTATAGTTACAGATCTGGAGTTCAAGTCTATACTGAGGATATAGTTACAGTATCCAATGTATGGCTAGTCAGTGGCATAAGCAAATGTATCAAAGAAATGTATCAAGATGTGAAATCCTGGGAAAGGAGAGTATGTTCTGTTTATACCTTTTGACTTTGCACTACCTGAAGTCCAGATAAAAACCACAAAGTGTATATTTGAAGATGAAGATCTCGGGTTCAGGTAACAGTCTAGGCGAGAGATATAGATTAGCATGTCTTTATCTTGGTAATAGATGGTGTATAAGAGAAAATAGAGAGTAAATGCATCTATGTGGAGAAGATCGAAAACCACATTTATTTTCATTTAAAAGATTAGCCAGGTGCTGTGAAATTAGAACAATATTTTTATTTTCAAGGAGTTTATTTCTGAACACTGTCTCCTCAAATTAATTTTATTATTCTGATATCATGAAGCCTTTTTGTTCCAGTAATAGCAGATCGGTTTTGCCCAAGTTTAAGCAAACTAAGAACATGTTCATTTTTGTCACATATTAATAGAAATAGCTGCCATAAAATAACATTTCTATATTAGTAAAAATATATACCTAATTTTTGAAACTTTCAAAGGTTCCCCATAAATCCCTGCTACATAGAATAGCATTTTAAAATATATATGGGCAAAAATAGTGTTCTATACTGCATCTTCTTTTTTTGATAGCTAGAGTACAAACTTATGTGTTTTATAGCAAGACGACTGCCAAGTTTACCCTGTTGAAGTAAAATTCATTGACTAGAATATTTTATGGTCTGTCTGTCTGCCAGTTCACATCCCTGATTCCGAGTGTATGGACACAGTATTATAATATTTACAATGTGAATTGCTATTTTCTGAAAAAAACTTTACTCCCTTATATTTACCATGCAAAAGTTCCCCATTGTAACAGGGTGTATACAATTGTAGTTTATTTGAAAGGAATATATCATCTAATTTTAAGATTTTAAGAGGTTTACAATTAATACAAAACCAGGATAACTTAAAAGTCAAAGGAAAACGAGAAAGAAAATGATGCAAGAAATGTTTACTATTCGCATATCTGGAATTCTGTTGATAGTCTTTAAGAAAGGTTCGAAGAACATTGTAGCGTTTTGTAACAATTGTAGAAGAGCTGTCTTAGTGGGGTTGGGAACAAGCCTACCCCAAAACATGCCATAAATTCTGGAGATCATATTTTCATCTTACCAAAAATGTAGAAGTGAACTAAAAAAGCACATTGAAATTCCTGAGGAGTTGCTTCTTATTCATTGCATTAGAAAGGTAGAAATAAAGCACAGTATTTTTAAAGTTTCTGTGAAATCTGGAAACACTAAGAGTAGCAATGCTAAGATAGAGGATTCAGTATGAAATTGTACTTCACGGAGACCAGCGACCTCATTTGGGAGTTGTCTGCTTCAGCGCTTCATTCAGAAAATTATTTTAGACAATGCAGTGTCATGCTTCATTTCATCTTTATAAGGATGCAGATGAACAAAAGGCAAATTACAAAAGGGACTTGTTATAGAAAACAGAAATAAGGGTTAAATCCATCCAGCCCTGCTTCTCATCCTGCGTTGGTATCACACAGCCATGTGCATATTGCACTTGGTGACTCTAGACAGCAAGAAGAGGTCTGTTCCATATGGGAAGACGGGGAAGTGCAGAAAGTTCTCTCCCTGTGTGATTAAATGTTTATAAATCAGACTCATTAAATATTAATGGTCTAAAAAATCACTTGTCTGAAATACCACATTGAGTGGTTAGACAAGGTGCCCATTAGAGAAAGCATTTTTGTAACAAGGTTGAAAAGTCTTTAATTTAGGGAATACTTTAGTATATGTTGGAAGAATATATTAGAATGATTCTGAGATATGAACAGGTTAGTCATTTTTATTTATGTCCTGCTCTTTAACATATAGAAGCATGTGATGTGTAATCACGTTCTCTTTGCAGGGTTCCTTTGGCCAACAGGGCTTACATCAGGACAGCTGGGCTGCGAGCTACCATAGCATGGGCGATGGCATCTCTCGCTGAAATCAGGGTAAGAACAGTATTTCATTCTCCTTAATAGTGTCTTCCCATAGGCAACTGACACAGTCTCGAATGGATGTTTGGTTTACTTGCTTTCTTTTTCTTACCGCTTTTTTTATTCTTCTGTTGTTGGAATTCCACTTAACTGCCACAGTGGTATTTTGTATGTCATTGAACTTCTGAGTATTTTGACTATGAAAAAACAGAGTCCAAAGTTAGCTACATTTTATTTTTTCTAGTTTTTGTGTTACATTTAGAAGATGTGGCTTATAAAACCTCTATTTCTTTTTGTTTGTTTGTTTGTTTTGAGACAGAGCCTCAAGCTGTCCCCCTGGGTAGAGTGCTGTAGCATCACAGCTCACAGCAACCTCCAACTCCTGGGCTCAAGCGAGTCTCCTGCCTCCGCCTCCCAAGTAGCTGGGACCACAGGTGCCCGCCACAACACCCGGCTATTTTTTGGTTGCAGCCGTCATTGTTGTTTGGTGGGCCAGGGCTGGATTCAAACCCACCACCTTAGTTGTATGTGGCTGGCACCTTAGCCACTTGAGCCACAGGCACTGAGCCGAAAACTTCTATTTCTTAAAATTAAAGTTTCTCTCTATAACCAAGATCTTGATCCATTTTTGTAATGGTCTGTAGACATAAGAAAATTTTATTTTCTAGTAAAGAAATGTCCTAGATTATTTTTGCTTACTGTGTTACTATCTGCTCCATTCTTAAAGGTATTTCTAATTGTGTGTATGGTTTTTAAAATTATTTTTTAGCTTAAAGGTATTTGAAATCTTACTGTATTTCCCCATTTTTTAGTTGTCAAGTTATCCAGCCGCTTATGATTTTTACTCGGTATTGTTACATTAAAGTTCTCTTTATCTTGATTCATGAGTCTAAACTTAAATTTCACCATTTTACTAATATTTTTTCTCCTGTTTGTTTGCATTCACCTAATGTTTCACTGCCGTTGCTTTTTTTGTTTGTTTTAAGTATTTTCTTAAAAACACACAGCTGTCTCCATCACCACTCTCATCTCTTTCAGTGAGAGGATTCAGGAAGTGCCCTGACAGAGGCCCTCGATTGCACTCCCCTGCTTTTAATCATCCATGACGTCTTACACTGTTGAATTCTCTTATTTTTGCTCGTTTGATCAGGTTACTAGCTACTCAGTTCATTGTTCTCCCTGAGGTTGGAGATTCTCCTTTACTGTCCTATTCCAGTAAGTTCCTTTTCCTAACTAAGTATCTTAATTAAACACTTGTGACTTTGCTCTTTAAAATAGAACATCAGCTATTTCGTCTGCTGCACTCTGTTCTTAGCACCAGAGCACTCTGGTTTTTCCCAGCCTCCCCTTCTTCCTCCTAAGATGTGACTTTCAGCTATTTTTTCTCTTCTCCTCCCTAAGTGAGACCTTGGAAACACTTCTGCCGCTTCCTCTTTATTACAGGTTGGAACTTCCTTTAAAGTAAGCCTTTTCTGTTTTAAAGTTCTTAGTTGGGACTTAAGTCCCTCACCATTAAGGTAGAATCGTGTGTAACACGTGCATTTTCGTTGCAGGATGTGTGGGTCCTTACCCTTTCTTTGTTCTCTTTATCTTTCCCCATTTGAGGCCTCCATTCTGGTTTACTTCTCATTTGGTTAAAGCCTCCTGCTAGGTATTTTACTCAAATGTAGTGTTTGAAAAATGTCTTACCTGAATTCCCTTGTATCTTCAAATTTCTTTTCATCCCAGGTCTTAGCTGGCTGGGTACATCAGTCTTGAGTGGGCAGCTCTTTTCTCCCAGAGATCTGCAGGGGCTATTCCATTAGACAATCAGCTTCCAGTGTTATAGATGAGCAGGTGGGGACAGTGGTTTTTTCTTTTCCTTTATAGCTACTCTGTTTTTTTCTGCTTGGAAGCCTGTAAGATTTTTCTCTTTAATCTTAAAGTTTAGGAACATTACCAGAATCTGCTTATGTATGTGTCTTTTCTGTTCAGCCCAGAGCTTGGTAAGTTTGACTGCCTGGGTTCTAATTCTGGCTCCACCACTTACTGGTTGGGAAGCTTTGAGCGAGATACTTCACATCCTGTGTGTCAGTTCCTCATCTGTAAAGTGAAAATAATAGCAGTGTCTCGTAGGATCATGACAGGATTAAATGAATGATCACTGATAAAGTGATTAGAACAATGTCTTGCACATAGAAAGTGTCCAAGTATTAGGGGCCATTATGGTAATAATAATTAAAGTTATTATTTGTGATTGATAATAATTATAAAACCAGCTCAAGTACTCTTTTTTCTATTATTTAATTATTATTGCCTCAACTTTTTAGCAAAGTTAACTTTAAACTGTTTTCTTTTTTTACTTTTGAAATTCCTGTTATAAACATGTTAAACTTCCTGGCCTTGTCCTCAAGTCTCTTACTCTTTCTTATCTAGTTTCCATCTCTTTATATCTTAGCTCTGCATTTTGATTTATTTTTTAACCTTATCTTCCAAGTTTAACAAAAGTCACAGAGATATGCTCTATTTTAATTTATTTATTTTTATTTGTAGCTTAAAAACCACATTTTCTTAGCTTTGGAAAGATGTATGTGTTACATTTGAGTATTTCTAAAAGCGTTCACTTCTTTTATTCAAATTCTTAACTGTCTCTTCCAAGAGTTGACAGTTCTGTTTTGGTAGTTAGTGGTTCACTAGGTGTAGGTTCTGCTTGTTCTGCCTGTTATCTCACTGGCTACTGAGAAACCCCTCTCCCTTTAAATATGCCCTTATTTTTTCACTGTTTGTTGGCTAACTAGGGCTAAGGTATGGTCATTAATGTATTTTAAATAGCCAGAATCCTTTAAGTGGTAAAAGGCAAGAGGATCTCTAGCGCCCCTGGGCTCAGCAGTGTAAGGAGAATCTGACAGCCCTGCTGAGATACCTGGAGGAAATTTCTAAATTCACGGGTCTCCCCTGTTGTCCAGAGATTTCAGAAGACCAGGCTCTCCCTGGTTCCCCTGGTTCTCCTTCTGGGCTGCAGTGTTGTTCCCTAATCACTTGCCCAGCCCACAGCAAGGAGGGTTGGGCAAGTGAAGTGAAGTGAACCACCCTGGTTCCTTCTTCTGGGACCCCAGCGGAGCCCAGGGTTTCTCTTAGCATCGGTTGCCTCTAGGTCTGGCTCAGTGGAAGTGAATAGCCTGGAGTTGGGAGAAAAGGAGGAAGCTGCTTTCAGATTACCACATATTCATAACCCATGATTTTCTTTTTTGATTAAAATCTTTAGCCCACATTTCTTTTCGTATAAGACGAGAGGTATGTTAATTTTTTTCCACACTGCCAGTATATCTCACAATTTATATTTAAATGCAAATTTACATCACCACCTACAAATTTGAAATGTTATCTTTGTCTTGACATAAACATGTATTTTTCAGAAAAGTCAAAAATAAATGATCAAAAATATCCACAGGTAATGTTCTATAACAATTTTTTACTATGAATTTTCCCTGCTAATCCCAAGATAAGAAATGTCTCTCTACCTGTGATCACTGGTAGAGGATGCCGGTTAAAGCATGTAAGAGGTCATATGGCAGAGTCCCTGTGGAGGGAAGGCAGCCACGGCCCACAGCGGAAGAGATCCCAAGATCTACCCTGATCCAGGGCCCTCTTTGGATATCAGCTTCCAGAGTTTGCATAGACAGCTCAACTTGGCTAGGCCAGTGCTCTAAAATGAAATTTCAAAATGGATGTTAGATATTTTTCATGTTTACTATAAATTGTTCTCCTTCCTACATATCATAGCAAGTAAGGAAAGTTAAGTTCTATAAATCTTAGTTATCGTTATAAGAATAAAGAAATACTTTTCTACTTTAGCCTGAATCCACAAACGTCATGGATAGAAAAGGTACGAGGTAAAATGAAAATATTTAAAGATCGCTCAGGTCTGATTATATCATTGAGCACAGAGCATGGGTGGAGGTGGGGGAAGGAGCACAGTGTTGGTACATTTCGAGGTCTTCATAAAATGAGTTCCTTTATAATTATTAATTTTAAACAAAATTGCCATTTAAATTGCTGTTCCTTTTACTTACTGCCCCTTCACGGGGGATCCAGGTGATACTCTCCTCGGAATTTAGTGCCAGAGGAAAGTTTCCCTCTCCTGAAGAACATTTCTTTCTTTCCCTTAGGTATCCTACGGCTCTGACCGAAACCTGGCTGTCCACTGAGGACTCCGCTTCCTCTGTAGCCATATCCAGTGTTAGATGTCTTCTCTCCCACAGCCCAAGTTCCCTGGGTCCGGAGGTGGGGTAGGTCCTGCTCACCTGCTGCCCACTGTGGAGGATGGTTTCTTATCTTCTGCCCAGAACCTCTTGTGCCTTTGAAGCACATGTCATCCGATTATCCTGGGCACAGGCAGACCGTTATTCTTGTCTGTCTTCCTTGCGGTCGCTCTAACCACTCAATAACTTAGTTTCCTGGCTTCCCTCCTAAAGACCTGCCTTGTTGACATCCAGACCTTGTCACACCTAGAGCACCTCCAGTCACTGGACTCGACCAGCTGTCCTTTAACTAGCCCCGTCCTCATGCCTCCTTCACAGCTTGGATTTCATGTGCTAGCAGTGTAGTCATTTCCTTGCCCATAGTTTTAACTCTCTTGCTTCGGACTTGACCTAAATATTAGAATCAGAAGATAACCTCAGCATGTTCTCACCAAATCTGCCAATTCATTGGAATCTGTGCCCACATATTGTCTTGTCATTATAGTAAGTGAACTGTCCTTATTCCACCCTATATGCTGGATTCTATTTTTCTTGCATATCCAGCGACTTTTATCTCTACTTGGTCATTGCCATCAATTGGACACCTGATGAAATACCTTTCAGCTTAAGTAAAAACCCTCTCTTAAACCCACATGCTCCTTCAGCTAACACCCCTTTTCTCTGTTTCACTTCACAGAAAAACTCTTAAAAATCATTGTCTAGTTTGCCGTCTCTACCCCCTTTCTTCCCATTCTCTTTTGTACTTACCACTGTGAGGCTTCATCACCATCCCTTCCCCAGAACTGCTCATCTTACCCTCTGAGCACTTTGGCACTGCGAGCGCTCTCCATGTTGACACAGTCTCCTCACCACTCTGGGTTCCGCGTCTGTGTCAACATGTGCCACTTGTCAGCATGCACGGCTGGATCTTCAGTAGGTAAGTGGACCACCAGGTCCGGTCCGTAGACCTCTAACCTGGCTTGCTGCCTAGGTTCTGAGGCTAGAAGCCTCACTCCCAGTTCTGAGGCTGTACATACCATTCACAGACTGGCTGGTGTTCACTGTTCCCTAATTGCCATCTGTACCCTGCACCTCTGCTTTACCTCTAGACTCCCGTGTCCAGTGACTCACTTGAATCTGCACGTGGAGCTGAAGAGGTATCTTGAGATTAACATGTCCAGAACTGTACTTTTGTCTCCCTTAAAGCTGCTTCTCCCTAACTCTTCCTGTCTCAGAAGCAGGCAACTCTAGTCTTCCAGTTCCTCAGGTCAACGTCTTTGGTCACTCCAGATAGTTGTCTTTAACATTCCACATCCAAACCACCCTTTTGGCTCCACTTTCTGACACATATCCAGAATTCAACTGTTTCTCACCACTTCCAACAATACCACTCTTAATTCAAGCCACCATCATTTCTTGTCTGGACTCCCTAACACTCTTACCCTCTGTGCTGTCCTCAGAGCAGCCAGAATGGTCCCTTTGAAATGCAATGTCGTATGACTCCTCTACTCAAACCCTCCAATAGTTTCCCATCAGTCAGAAAAGAACCTGGATCCTTACAGTACCTACGAGATCTGACATGATGTGATTCCTAGAGTGGGACTGCGTAGTTTTCCCTCCAGTTTCCTCTTATACTCCCAGGCGCAGGTAGGATTACACTTTCCCTGCTCCTTGAGACTCAGTGCCATGTGATGACCATGCGCTAGTCAGATAAATGCTAGTGGAAGAGAAGCATGTCCCTTCCAGGTGGCCCCTTTCTGAGCCAGTACACAGCTTGTCATGCTTTCCTTCCTGCTGCCCTGGTGAGGGCAGCACTCCAGATGGTGAATACTTCATCAATTTGGGTTCCAGAGTGAGGAGCAGGAGCCCAGGTGCCCTCCTGTGAACAAGTAGCACGAGCTGCGTGTTTTAAACCTCTGTGGTTTCGGGGCTAATTACTACATGCTGTACAATTCAGCCTTCTTGATGGAATTCCTGGGCTGTGTTTCTGGTGCTGTCACCACCTTTGCCATTTGCTCACTGTGCCTTGGCCATAATGGCCTCCTTCCTAATCTTTAAACACGCTGAGCACACTCTTAGCTTAGGTGCTTAACTACCTGAGATTCCTAATAAAGTATAAAAAGGAATCTTTACTCTTGAAATACTGATTCCTCGAGTTTTAGGTTTCTTTTATAACACTATGATAGAATCCATTAATATTTATTTATGTATTTTATAATTTATTAATATTAATACCAAATTAATATTTCTATCTACAGGCTGGTGCATTTGTTTTAGATCCGATGTGTGGACTTGGAACAATACTTTTGGAAGCTGCTAAAGAATGGCCAGTAAGTTCTAAAGTTTTGTAAAACAAGCAATATATTTACTTTAATCAGTATGTATATATAGTCACCAGTTATTTACAAGTGGATTGTATATTTGGGGAGTATTATTAATTATTAATAGTAGTTATGAGTTATTCACTGTAGTCAAATTATGAAGGATTAATTAAATTGCTATGTTACTTTTTTTAGAATACTAGGACAAATTCAGGAAAATATAACAGAATTCCAGTAATTTGCCATGATCCAGACTATACTAATCCTGAAATTCTTTAGGTATTTTTAATTATAAAATATTAACATACTTTAAAATTATAACAAAAACTTTCCATTTTGTGCTATTAAATATCATTTTAAAGTAATACTCTAAGTTTGTTTTAACATGAATTTTAAAATCTACTAATTTCATTTTCATCATTTGAGAAAATGCAAGTATTTTATTAACTACATAAAATATGTAATAGTTTTAAACTTAAAATACGAATTTCTTTTCCTGTAGGATGTGTATTATGTGGGTGCTGATGTCAGCGACTCACAGTTACTAGGTGCATGTGACAATCTGAGAGCTGCAGGCCTTAAGGATAAAATTGAGTTACTTAAAGTCTCTGTTATAGGTAAGATACTACAAATGCAAAAATTGGAGATAATGAACATATGTAAATACTTAAAATTATAGTATAAAACAGGATCATTTTCCCTGTGTGAAGACTTGTTTTACCTTGTAATGTATCTGTGAGGTTAGCACTCAGTTCACTTCCAATCTTGTAACTTTCTTGTTTTCACAACATTCATGATTGGGAAGTCAACACTATATAGTTTTCATAAACATGTAAGTAAAAGTGTGCCTTTTTAAAGAGTTTGTTACATCTGATTCATTTCTCATAACTAGGGATCAATTAATATAGGAATAAAGAAAGCAGTATAATTTTTAAAACTCTTTGAATTTTAAATAAACTATGTGAAGTTTTCTGAGTTATCTTGCCTTTATGCCTCACATTAGATCCCTGAGATACACAGATACCGCCCATCCCAGTGTGCTAAGCCAGTACTTGAGGGCTAAAACCAGGAACGTCTGCAGCAAATGGGACAGTTGGTCCCTGTGAGGTGGAAGGAAAATATTGCACACTATTACACTGAAGGGGAGTCAGCAGAATGTGACTAGGAATCAAGTCTGAGTCCAGTCAGAATAGTATTGCCCTGAGATCCATGGTGTTTACACTGTTCTAGAGAAGCCTCACATTCCTTGTTTTATTCCTATTCCTGGAGTACACCCCCTCCTTTAAAAAATAAGCACATTTAATTCCCCAGTAAGAGTAGGTCTCAATATCAAACCTGTAATCAGGAAGAACACAGTATTGCTTATATTTTTTATTCTAATAAAACAGTAGTAATGATGAGTATCAACAGTAGAAAATATTAGAATAACTTTTGTGTAAAAGCATAACAAAGCAGCCGCAAAGAAGAAATGGGTGGTGGAGAGCTGATTGCTCTTTGCTGCTAGAGACTGGGGTTTTAGCCGTTCTCCCAAGGTTTTTAATAGGACTCTGTACATAAGACCCAAGTTTCTAGAGCAGAGTGCAGTGTGATTAAACTGACATCAAGCTTTCATTAACCCTAATTTCTTTAAGAATGCTGTTTCTTTGCAACTGTCAAAAAAAACCCAAAATCAGTTCACAAATGGTTCCAGAGCAGTGGGTTTTCAGTTTCTTTACATTTTCCAGAGCACCTTGCAGGTGAGAGCACTGAGGGGCAGAGCACTGACTTGGCCATCTGACCTCTGTTACACTCCCAGCTGCACTTGTACCTGTTTTCCATCTGGGAGGCATTTTCCATAAGATTTTACTTTAAAAAATAAGCAAAAATGTTGTACTCTCTTTAGAAAAAAAACAGAAGTGGAGTAGCAGAGTTTCTCTCTGGCAGTAGGTAAACAAATAGATCTCAGTTTTTGAAAGGATCATTCTTAGTTTTCCTCATTGTCACTTAGAAGACTAACCAGGGTGAATATTAACTATTTAATAATTAGCCCTTTGTTGCTCCTATTTTAGAGGTAGACAGTCTAGCTAGATAAAAGCATGATGGCGTCTGGGCCCACAGAGGTATTCATGACAGTGTTGAGATGAGACCAGATACAGACCTTGAAAGGTAACACCAACAGGATTTCTTGTTGAGTTGGATGCAGAGTATGAGAGAACAAGGGTAACTCTTAAGTTCTCTGGCTTGAGCCAGCCAGAGGATGGAGCTGTCATTTACTGATGCAGGCAAGTCTGAAGGGGGAACAAGTGAAGAGTTTTGGACCTGTTAAATTTCACATTGTTGTTAGACACCAAGAGGAGATACCAAGATGTGCTCAATATGCAGATCTGGAGCGTAGGGCCTCACCAATACAGCTAATCCCATTAGATTCATGAGATTACCCCAGAAGTGAGTGTAAAAAGAAAAGAGGAGCGGGCCCTGGAGCCCTCAGGTGCTTGGATTTCTGGAAGGTAGTGTCTGGTAAAGGAACAGGCAGTGATGCAAGAGAACAACTAAAAGAATCCGAGAAAGAGAATGATGAGCTCTGTCAACTGCTGCTCATCGGTGAAGTGAGATGCAGCCTCGTGATCCCGAAGCCAAAAGCTGTTTACCTGAAGTGGGGGCTCCTGAGGGAATGGGAGAAAATAAGTTAAGGATAACTAGTTTAGAGCATTTTCTTGAGCCATTTGGCTGGTAAGGGTAGCAGAGAAATGGGCAGAAACTCAAAGGAGGGATATTGAAAATCAAGCAGGAATTTTTTGAAAAGAGAAATTAGAATTTTTTTAAGTACAGCAAATTTGCATGCTAATGATGACATAAAAAAGAGGAACTTGACATGATGCAGGATAAAGAAGAGAATTGCTGTCTGCAAGGGAAAGGATGGGACAGTGCACAAGTTGCGGGGCACATACCCAGGCTCGTGGGAACAGGGAGCACGTACCCAGGCTCGTGGGAACAGGGGGGCACGTACCGAGGCTCGTGGGAACAGGGGGCACGTACCCAGGCTCGTGGGAACAGGGGGCACGTACACAGGCTCGTGGGAACAGGGGCACGTACCCAGGCTCGTGGGAACAGGGGGCACGTACCCAGGCTCGTGGGAACAGGGGGCACGTACCCAGGCTCGTGGGAACAGGGGGCACATACCCAGGCTCGTGGGAATGGGGAGGCCGAGGGACAACAGAAGCTGTAACAAGTGGCACCAGACCAGCAGGTATTAGTGCATGTTTCCCTGGTCCTCTGGCAATACCGGATAGTATCATTTTTATTAGTTATCTAAAGACTTTACAAATCTGATACCCTGGTTTACATTTGCCATTATTTGGCTGCTGCTGAGATAAAAGGTTTTTCACATCATTTATAGATTATTTTTAAATATATTATTTGTTTTTAAGAAAACACAACCTTTTAGTTTTTGAAGTTCCGTCTAAGGGAACTGTGTTTTGCTAACATAGGGGCAAATATTAACTTTTTAGTAATTAGCCTTTTTTGCACCTACTGTCGAGGTAAACATTCTAAAAGCAGTTGTATTCTTCATTAATTTAATCTTGCCTTTAAGCGCTCTACTTATAAATACAGTTTAGTATGCTGAGTCCCACAAAGTCTTTATTTAACATTGACAGATTTGAGGATCTCCCTTATACAACAGTAACCGAGAGCACGCGTGGACCTCAGAGGCAGACTGAGTGTGAATCGTGGTTCCCCCATGGTTCCTTGACTGTATGGCCTTCAGCAAACAAACAAACAACAACAACAAAAAAAACTGGAACTCTCTATATTTTCTTATCTGTAATATGAATAGAATAATACCTAGTTTATAAGGCTATGGTGAGGATTTATTACATGAACACACAAAGAACAGTTGCCTGCCACACAGCAAGAGCACCTGTCAGCATTGACATTTCTAGGAAGTTAGTAATAGACCCATCATGATTTATGTTTTTGCAAAATCACAGCCTTCGTTTTGTGTGCTTAATGACTTATTTTTTTCGACCTTTTTAGTACATTCTCATTGTTTTATAACCCTCTACTGGTATAAAAAGAAATGATCATTTAACATGGAGAAATCTTACGTATTTGTTACTAAATTTTAATCATGAGATTTTGAAATCAAAAGACTATTACAGGTTATCTTAGGAAACAGCAATTTTTAAAAAATCTTGAGCAGCGCCTGTGGCTCAAGGAGTAGGGTGCCGGCCCCATATGCTAAGGGTGGCGGTTTCAAACCCAGCCCTGACCAAAAAAATGCAAAAAGAAAGCAAAAAATCTTCTTATATATTTTCAGTGTAAGACAGAAGCTGTAACATATACAGATTTGAGCAAAAGAAACACATTTATGGTTAAGAATGCCAAAATTATAGCTAGATAATAGGAATAGGAAATGTTTTCATTCTTTCCATTAGACACCGTACAGCCTTTCACATATCACTCAAGCCATAGCTGATGACAAGACTCTTGGCAACAACCGTGCTTTATTCTCAGGTGTTTCCACCCTTGTAGTGTGACATGCTGCTTTCAGGACACCCATAAAATTTCATGACATGGTGGTTGTTTTCTCTCATATGCTAGTGTGTCTCCCCTCCAATACCTGTCCTACATCTTTAGCTTGGCCCCCAGGGTTCCAGGCAGGTGTCTTAGGGCCCATGTCATATTCAGCAAGATTCATTAAGCTGCCAGGCTTCCGATCTAGGGCATCAGAGGGAAATGTGGGAAATGGTGGGTTAGGTGTACATGAAACATTTGTAGGAAACAGGAGATACAAAGCTCACCACAGAGTCGTGTGCTCTTACTACAAAGCCTTTATTTTATGATGTACGTCCTTTTTTTATTGTTTGGCAGTACTTCTATTTTGTAATAAACTCAGTACCAGTAAGTTTTTAAAAATGCATTTTTAATGAAAAAGTAAGTACTGAGTTTCCATTTCTCAAGATAACTAATGTTGAACATATAACTTGAGTATGGTGTTTGTTGATATTTACTATCTACTATGAGGGCCAATGGTGATATCACTGATCAAATGAAACACATCTGTCTGTGGAAGCATCTAGCATTTATTTCAACACTTAGTAGTTATTTTAAGACTACAAAGCCAACTATTAATATTTAGTACCTGCAGCTAAAGAAAATGCTTTTTAAATGACACTCTGAAGTCTTTCCTTTTAGATGAAATGGCTGTTCTTCCAAATTGATAGTGCTCAGACTAGTTTTCTTATGCACATAAGCAGAACAAAGCTGGTGCTCCTAATATGCCAGCTCCCTTAGCAGACAGCCTTGCAGTTATTTAGATGTTGGCAGTTTTGTATCAGTGCCATCAGGTGATTCAGAAAAAAACTAGGTAAGTTGACTCCATTAATGGTTCAGATTTGGGGGGAGGGTTTCCCCAGTTCTTGGAAATTCAGGAGGTTCTTTTTTTTTCTGTCAAAATGAAACTTCTTTTGAATGATACTATAATTACAGATCTGTCTGCTTATCCATTAATTGGGTAGATCACAACATCGTGATAAATAGTTAATAGTCTTGGTAAAAGCAAAGCAAAGTCCTTAGAAGTTAATTTGGTCCCCCATGTACTCTACAAACTTGTGACGTTCCTCCAAGTGAAATAGAA